TTGTATGACTTGCCCCCGGTCAATGCAGCCACCGCTAGAGCTAGAACGCCGCTCGTCACGGCCGCCCTGACCGCCATTGCTGCCGCCGGGCTCGAGCTCGACTTGGCCAGGCCGTCTCCGACCGTCTCTCTCTCCAAGTACTTGCATCATGTTCGCCTAAGCGTGTAGATGCAGGAACCGCAGGCCGTTGCCCAATGCGGGGCCCGCTCCCGCCGTCGCCCTACTGCTGCGCAGCCATTGCCGAGCTACCATGAGCACCGCTGCCCTAGCTCGAAGCCCCCAAATGGCTCAACCAACTACACCCACGGATGCGCTAGGTCGTGGGGAACACGCCGGTACTCTCCCCTTCACCGGAAAGTTCGCCGCCGGCGAGCTCCGGCCGGTCAAACCGCACCCCAGCACTGTTTCTATGACAAGTGGGGTCAGTTGACCACGACCCCAGATGTCAGTGCCTCTGGGTGCAATGCACCAGGTGCATCTAGCAGTAGCTAGGGTTTAATTGTTTTTCGTTTTAATCTTTTCCAGAATTGATGATAATCTTGTAAAATTCATATCTCATGCTAGGAGTGTCCCAATTGAGTGAAACCAATTTTGTTAGTTTCGTTAAAAAGTGCTCTACCTACTAAAATTATAAAATTTACTATTTGGTGAATTTCATATGCAGTACTATTTATCTTTTTTAACTGCTATTTAAACTAGTAAAATGTAAAAGTGGAGCTAGGGATGTGCTAAAAATGTGATTCCAATTTTGTTAGTCTTGTTTTGTCATGTAGTTGCTAAGAAAAATATTGAACTTGCAGTTTACATGTTTTTAATGTGCTCTTATGATTTAACTTTGTTTAATGCTAGTTTTCATGCAAAAATTATTATAAAAAGATATATGTATCTTGTATGTATGAAATAAGTTTCATAGCTTCTTGGTAAGATCTAGAGTGTAGGAAAAATATGAAATATGTTGTTTGACACTTTTCAAAAGGCTAAAACTATTTAAGTTGTTATAAGCTTGATTTGCTTGTGATTTTTGTAGAGGGTGTTTTACTTGCTCCAAAATTATGAAATTTTTGTAGTGGTCTGTTGAATGCGGGTTTAAGATAATGTAATTTTCCAGAATTTACTGTATACTAGAGATAGCAGTTCTCAGTTTCACCTTACCATTTAAGTAAAATCAATAAAGGCTTATAAATAATTTAATTGGGTTCAACCATCAACTTTTCTAGCATGTTTGTGATGTATATAATATGTTGGTATAGTTGTTTTTGCTTAGATTTGAATTGTTGTATGCAGTTAGCCTTTTCTTGCTCTATAATTCTCTTGTCTAGCTTTCGCTTGACTTGTTTCATGCGAAGTTTGATGTTTGTTAAATAGATGTTTAGGCTAATTAAGACAAGTTGTTAGCTGCAAGTTTTAGAACTCTTACTGCTGAGGAAGAGTTGTACCTTAGGTTGCTAGAGCGTGGTGAGTGTTTATTTCCTATACTAGAGAAGAGATATGCACCTACTCGATTAAAAAAATGAGAAAGTTAATCACCTCTTGTTATCATGCTTAACATGTTTGTGTTAATGGCTTGCTATTGTTACAACGTGTTAGGTTCAGATCCATATTTGCATCATATCCCGCATACATGTGATCTTCCATGCATTCCTTTTATTTATTTATATACATGTGCTTTTGCATATAGGATCGCCGGAAGCAATAATACTGTTGGAGTTCGAAGACGTGGGAGAGGAGAACCTGCTAGAGATCCAGCAGGAGGTTCCAGAAGGAGAAGGACAGGTCTAGGAGCTGCCCGAGTGCCCGGATCACGTTCCCACTAGCTACATCAAAGGCAAGCCCTGGAGCATATTAAGACTCCCACTCTTTCGAAAATAAATTTGAGTTCTTCTTTGTTTGATGCATTAAGTTATAGGAGTTGTTTGGAACCAGTTGATGCATCTATCTTTCCTTGTCCAGAAATATATATCTTCTTACCTCGTTAGGTCCAGGATTGAAACCTATGCTTAGCCATGCTTATACCGGTAGAAGTCGGGTGATTTCGTCACCGCGAGATATAGGTGGATACTCGGTCACGGTTGGCTATATTTGCTATCGTGGAAAAGAACCATGTGTTGATTATAAATGGAGACCGGGCAGGATTTTATAAGTGAATGGTGTTAGGTTGGCTTCGTTGATCCCGCTCAGGTGTCGGTTAAGAACCCTACCGTTGTTGGACCTTGCTCGAGATTGAACATCGCCTTTCACCTAGCTGGCCGATAAGTCATTCGGACCGTGAAGCCGAGTAGCTCAAATCAATTTGGGAAGTTGAGATTCTAGCGCCACAATGGAGGGAAGTATGTATGTAAAAGGGAACCCGAAGGACCTCAGGCGGATCTGTTGTCCCAACACCCCAGCTCCAGTTGTTTCCCTGAGGGTGCGGCTCAGCTCAAACCCATGATATCCTGAATCTTACCAAAGGAAACCTATGGCTACCTTCGCGCGGTATGCCTGGGTTTGTGTTATGGATTTCTGCCCAGCTGGATGCAATTGATTCAAATCGCCGCCTTTCCCGGATAGTGAGAAACTTGAAAAAGCCTCCAGCATTCGTAGTAATCTAATGGAAGTTTATGGTTATGTTGTTCTTGCAAATAAATTGGATATGGTTACAATGTGATGCTGTTATCTAAATGAAGTGATTGTTGTAGGATAGCTGCAAACTTAGCTGTAAATAGCTATAATTAATTTGATGATAGCAAATCCTAAAATGGTAGGACTCACATTAGCAAAGCTTATATGCAAAATTGTGGTTAAGCCTGCTCTGCTATGAAAAGTCTTGCATACTCCTTGGTGTCATATTATTTTTGGTTTAAGACGGATAATTCTAGCTGAGTACATCCTCGTACTCAGGGTTTATTCTCCCTTGTTGCACATGGTGTGGTATATCACGGTTACTGCAAGAGTTGCTTCTCTCCAGCTGTGGATGAGGAGTGAGGCCACGGGCAAGGCCCTCTCTAGTAGCTTATCTATGTTGCTTTTGTTGGACATGATTATGGTATTGGCACGTGTTTGAACTAAGTGCGTATGATGTTTTAAAGACTATGTTGCTTCCGCTACCGAATTTGAACTATGTGTTGTAATAATTATATGTGATCTCCGATGTATGTTGAAGTACTTGTGAACATTATGTAACATGTGATGTGTGTATGTTGAATCATGTACGATCTTGGATTGCATGTGGCTTATTTTGAGATCCTTCGTGATACTCGACGGACTACCGGATTTATATGTGCTCAAGTGTGAGAGTGCGACTGTCTCGGCAATTGTCATTGCACTTGTGCTCTTATAAATTGGACGGTTCTGCTACAAGCCTGATCGGAGGCCGGCGGCGGCGAAACGGCCGACTTGGGTCTCCGATCGTGCAGAAGGAAGATTGAAGGCTGACGGTGGTGAAACGGCCAACCATACCAGGGGAAGGCCGATCGAAGGCCGGCGACGGCGAAACGGCCAACTTGGTTCTTTGATTGTGCAGAAGAACGATAGAAGGCCACCGGCGGCGAAATTGCCAACTGCACCAGGAGGAAGGCCGATCCAAGGCCGGCGGTCGGGAAAATGCCGACACTTCGAGGGAAAAGAGGTCGAAGGCCAGGGCACTACGAAGACCAGTCGAAGGCCGAGGGGCCGCAAAGACCAAGCGGAGGCCTAGGGCACTCAACCGTGCCAAAAGGAGGAGGAGTGCCAGCAAGCGGGCATAAGCGACGATTAGGAGAGGTGGTGGGCTAAAGGCCCAACTCGACGACAACCCATCTGGAAAGGTGGTTGGAAAAGAAAAAGACTCCAATACCCCGGAGACATGTGCACTGTGTATAAGAATATACCGGAATATGTCTTAGCTGTCCTAGGGGCATCTCTATACTCAACAAATAATATAACCGTACCCTATAAAAGGGGAACTCATCACCCAGTGAAGAGGAGGGTAATTGTGTGGCTCCAAACACTAAGAGTTGCCTCGGTAATTGTGTCTCGGTCGGTTCAAGGCCTTCACCCCCGAGTGAGGCCTTTGACTATCGGAGGGCGAGCAGCAGCGAGCTCCCCCCCACACACACACTGTCGGGGTCCCAATCTCCCAACAGTGGCCACGCCACAGCCATGACGCCTTGGTCGACTACTCGACTCCACTGCCGCTGCCACGCTCTTTGCCGCCGCCTCAGACGGATCTAGTGGCGATGGGCCACTCAGCAACCGGCAAATGGAGGCATGGACGGATAGGGGGGGACGGCGAAAACGGCGGCGTTGGAGGCTGCGAGATGCGAGAAGAGCCAGGCGCCCATCACCGTCACATCCACGGCTGTCATCCCACTACTCATTTGTGATAAGAATAAATTCTATTATGATAATCCAATGCATAAAGGGCTAGATCACTAAGAACAAATTCATTTGTGATAATCCAGTGCATAAAGACCAAGCTAGACCTTGATAGGAGTACCATAAGAAACCTCCAGCCGGCCGCGGTCGGCACATGATAACGTTGTTAGGCCTCCTCCAACAGGGTTGCGATATCGCCAGCGCACGTGGAGGCGAGAGACCGGGCACATGCACAGACAGATGCTTCAAGAAACGTATGGTGAGGGAGGGGGCGTCTAGAAACAGTGTGAGACTGTGCTTCGGTTTGCGCTAGCACGCTGCCATTCTCGCTGTTCATCAAATATAATACAATAATAATAACTATATATATATTTTTGGCTGGCGACATCGCTAGCCGTTGGAGGCTATATATAGTGTTATTAGCTATATATACTAGCTTGGACAGATCATGCCGAATCCAAATATATATGCTATTGAATAAATGCCATCACTATATACAACTTTCACGTTGGCGCATTACCTAAGCTAAAGATTCGGATGGGCCTTTGGTGGGCATTTGCAGAATCCAAATATATGCCATCCGAACACTATATATAGAACTTCCATCGGAATTGAAAGGTGTAGTATATGTTATTTCTCCTTGGTAGTCTGCACGATTTTCCTTTATGGACAGGGTGTCAGTGTTCTCTAGCACTATAGAAAGGTCGCAACTTAGACGCGGCGATCACATTTACGTCTGGCGCTACATGTACTCCCATCATGGTAATACCAATCGTTTTTATTAGTCCCATGCATGCATGCACCTTAACGAAAGAAGCGTATATTTAGTAGTTATTACTCTCTCTGTCCTTTTTTACATGTTACATTAGCTTTGTCATAAAATCAAACATTACTATCTTTGACCATCTAGTTTAAAGAAATTATAGTTTTACAACGTATAAATTATAGATTATGAAAATATTTGTCATAGTGAATCTAAAAACATAAATATATTTCTCATCCGACCTAGTTTAAGGGCCTGTTTAAACAGGTTGACTGAACTAATTTTTAGTTTTCAACCCAACTACTCATTAGTTCATTTATTGGTAAACATGGACTAAAAGGTGCACATGATTCTATGTCCATTGCTTTTAGTTTACTTTTTAGTCCATGTATCCAAATATCACTAAACTAAACTTTAGCCACCTAAAATTTAGTCCCACTAAACATTAGTTCTAGATTCTAGTGTGTGTGTGTGTGTGTGTGTGTGTGGGGGGACAGTTCCACTCAATTAATTAATCAATTAGGGTCTTGGACTATATATATTACAGTAATTTGATTGTACAGGAATCTACGAAAGCGACGAGAAGGTCATCCAGTTCACCAGCGCTTTATCGCTGTCCTCCATAGTTGATGGAACCTGCAGCAGGTGCAGTAACGCTAAGCGTGGAGGCGGCGTCATGGTCTGCTGCCTTAACTGCTTCCTGGAAGGAAGAAATGAACTTAAACTCTTCGTCTACTCGGTGTCTTGGTGGTTCTATAGCATGAGCAATACTGGTGTTCTTCAAGACACCTGCTCCATGGAAGATGAAGACCCCCCCGAGACGGTCTTGCGCCGCGCCAACGAACTGCTCTTGCGCCCCTACTTATTCGGCTTCGGATTAAGCAGCTACGACGCTGTGGTCAATAACTGCTTCGACTTTGCCTTTTACTGCAAGACAGGGCGCCGGTATCGTTTACTAGCAGAGATGATTGTTGAGCCCTCCACTATTTCTGCGCAAGAGCTGCGCAGCGCTATTCGTCGCTGGCTCTTTTGATTATTTCTCTTTATTTATTTTGCTGCTTAGAGTAATTCTCTCTTCTATTCTATTCCACGTAGGACTGCATGCTAGCGGTTTTGATGACTGCATACTACCTCTATATATGCCTAGCTTCTCTCCCACGCCGTCATCAACAAAAAGACTGCTTAGCTTCTCCATATATTATATTATCTCTAATAAGGCTGGTCTGGTCTGGCTTATGGTGTACTATTAAATAAATAAATCCTTGTATGTGTGCGTATTGTATAGTATGCCGGATTCTATCCTATACGTTATGTAATATATTTTTGCGGGCCGCCACATCTCCTTCTCTTAGGGTCCCTTTTGATGTGTTTTGTGATGCATTTGGTAGCGGTCTTGGATTTGCGGGCCACATTTCCTTCTCTTTGGGTCCCTTTTGATGTGTTTTGTGATGCATCCGATAGCGGTCTTGGATATGTTCTAATGCAAGAAGGCCGAGTCATTGCATATGCATCGCGTCGTTAAGGAAACATGAAGTCAACTACACTACACATGATTTAGAGCTTGCAGTAGTTGTTCATGCAATCAAGATATGGCGACATTATTTGTTGGGGAAGAATGTATGCCACGTCTACATCGATCACAAAAGTGTCAAATATATCTTCACTCAACCAGAGCTAAATATGAGGCAAAGAAGATGGCTAGAGCTAATAAAGGATTACAACCTCAAGTGCACTATCACCCAGGCAAAGCAAATGTAGTAGCATATGCTCTGAGTCGGAAATCTCATTGCAATTATGTGGAAGCCTAGTTAGAAGATGGTTTTAATTTGTTGCATCCTGCAGTGTTACACAACCTTACACTTAGCTATTCTTTAGAAGGCCAAATTATAGAGGGTCAGAAGACTGATGATGTGATCTTTCATATTAAACGGAAGAAGAAAGAACAAGAGACCAAGCACTTTAGACTGGATGAGAATGGTGTACTGTGGTTCAAGGATTGGTTAGTGGTACCTAAGGACAGAAAGCTTCGAGTGCAAATACTTACCGAGGCTCATTCTTCAAAACTGTTTATTCATCCCGGCAGTAGTAAGATGTACCAAGATCTGAAGCTGCGTTTTTTGGTGGACAAAAATGAAGGAAGAAATAGCGGCACATGTTGCTCGATGTGATGTCCGTCGATGGGTGAAGTCCGATCATTTGAAGCCAGCCGGACCGCTTCAACCGTTGTCCATTCCAAGCTGGTAGTGGAAAGAAATAAGTATGGACTTCATTACTGGTCTTACAACCACACAGTAAAAGTCATGATTTCATATGGGTAATTGTGGATCGCTTAACCAAGTCTGCACACTAGCTTCATTGCTGTCAAAACCATGCAGAGACCACATCAGTATGCAGAGCTGTATGTTTCACACATTGTGCGTTTGCATGGTGTTCCAAAATCAATTGTGTCGGACAGGGACCGTAGTTTATAGCTCGTTTTTTGGAGTACTTGCATAAGGAACATGGTAAAAATCTAATCCGAAGTTCAGCATACCATCCACAACCCTTAGGTCAGACCAAGATGGTGAATCAAATTTTGGAAGACATGTTGAGAGCATGTGACCTGTGACCACCGAGCGCACAAACCCACGAGTCCGATCCACATCATTAATCCAACTCCGTGAGGATTGGTTTGGCTTGGGCGCTTGGCTCGTAAATCTAGCGGTTTATTAATTGGCTCGTTAATCGCGTCGCTTCCTAATCATTCCGGTCGCCGCCCCTGACTCCCCCCACAGAACTCTCGCTTCGTTCGCAGTCCGCAGTTCCGTTCCCTGTCCCTGCAGCGCGAGATCCCCGTACGTTGCCTATGGCGTCGTGGTTTCCGCGATCCACGTACGGCGGGTCAGCAGAAGCGGGCTACGTTCTACCCTGGATGCCCCCTCTCCCAACTCCCATCGGATTATTACCACAGATATTCCTTTAGAATATGCGAGGACGGCTTCACTGTATTTCGATTTTTTTTCTAGCGCTGTCACATCAATGCATTGCTTTACTGCAAATCGATTTTACAAGCTGCATGGCTATGTTTGGTTCATGTTATTCATGGATTGATTATGTTTTTTAAATTGTCTCCGGCGACCACGCCCACCCTAACCTCCGCCATCCTCGACCTCGCCCCTGCCCCCGTCCCGGCCCCCACCACCGGCGGCCTGCGGCAAGCCGCCTTGCCGCGCCACCTGCAACCCGCCCCTGCCCCTCGACCCCACCCACAACTGGAACGAGGTTCTTTGCCGAGGGCCGGATACGCTCGTCAAAGAGGCCTTTGCCCTCGGCAAAGGCGTTGCCGAGAATTGCTCTCGGCAAAGGCCGGTCGGCACAGTACCTCACGGCAAAGGCTACTTTGCCGAGAGCCGCATCTCGGGCTCTCGGCAAAGGATTTGCCGAGGGTTAGCCGGCCGTCGGCAAAAATTTTCGCCGTGACGGCGAGAGGTCACAGTAAAGTTGATATTTGCCGAGAGCCTTAGCAAGCTCTCGGCAAAAAATTTCTGAATTTTTTTCCCAAAAAACTTTGCCGAGCGTCTGTCAGAAGAGCTCTCGGCAAAAAATATTGACAATTTTTTAGACATTTTTTTGCCGAGAGCTATGGCTCAGCTCTCGGCAAAGGCTTCCTCTTTGCCGAGGGCTATGGTCATGCGCTCGGCAAAGCTGGGATTCTGTGTGTTCCAGAATTCCCAGCTTTGCCGAGGGCATGACCATAGCCCTCGGCAAAGCCACAGCCAGTTTTAATTTTTTTTTTTGTTTTTTGCATTTCCAGTCAACAAATAAACATATATATGGCATCCACATCACAATAAGCACATCCACATATCAATAACCACATCCACATCACATAATTCACATCCACATCACATAGAAGTCTCGAAGTTCGAAGTCACAAACAAATCTCGACACATAGACAACCACAAGTGTAAAGTTTGACAAGCAACATAAACAAGAGGCATAGGAGGCGCCAAATTGGTCACGGTGACGGTCCAGGCCGAGAAGGCACCGCGTGCGATCCTGGGGAGTTGACGAGGAGAAGGTTAGGGTCGTTCGACGACGCCGCCGACTGACGCTACACAAACAAAGAAGATGCAGAACGTGTTAGACAACATAAATAGATAACCAAGCACTACATGTACTTTTTACCACCACGACCACACCACCACCAACCACGCGACACCACCACCACGACCACACCACCACCACCACACTACTACTACCACCACCAACAAGCACACCACCACGCCACCACCACAACCACACCACTACTACCACCAACAACAACCACACCACCACGCCACCACCTCCACCAACCACGCAGCCACCACCACGACCACGCCACCACCACCACCAACCACACCGCCACCACCAACCACCACCATCACCACTAGCACTAGGTTTCACTAGGTTTTACTAGGTTTCACTAGGTTTGACATTTAGAGAAACCAAAACATTTGTCATACTCACCGGAGTAGAATCAAGCTGAGGTGGAGGTGTAGCCTACAGCTGACCGAGCAGGAACTGTGGGACCATTCCACCTTGGGTCATCGCAAGACCCCGCACGTAGGAGAGCACCTCTGCCATCTGCCGCTGATCCTGCTCCTGCTTGGCCTCTAAAGCTGCTAGCCTCTGCCGCTCGAGCACCCGCTCGGCCTCCAAAGCTGCCAGCCTCTGCCGCTGCTGCTCCCGCTCGGCCTCCATCGCCTGCAGCTGTGCCTGCAACATTTGATGCCAATGTTTCAAGATTGCTGAGCTAAGGTATGTAAAAGTCAAAGAACTAGGAATGTAAGAGAACACTTACCTGGAGTGTCGACACCACGGTCGGGCGTTGGCGTATGGCCGACATTGAGCTCATGCTCGCTGCTCAGATCTAGTGCAGCGGAGGAACAGAGGTCTTGTCGAGGACACCGTCGCCAAGCCAGAACTGCTCGTGCTTCTTGCCTTGCCCCACCCTCATCACGAGCTCTGGATCAAGCCGCTCCTCGGTGGTCGGGTCATAGTCTGGCCCATGGACTGACCTTGCCATCTCTGTGTATGTAGAGATGCGAGGGGCAATGCTGGCGTTGGTGAACGACTCGGCAGGGACTTCCGGGGTCTAGTCGGTGGCGGCCGTCGCCTTGCCCAAGTGGGACAAGGCATATGCCTTGAGGTGACCACAAGGGCGGCCACCATGTGACGCCGATTGCGAGAAAGACAATAACATTGTTAGAGTTGTTGCAGAATTGAGTGTTAGGTTAGAGAAATGGTTTCGCCTGACCCAAGCTTCTGAGAATTTGGAGAGGTTGCGGCTGCCTTGATGGTGTGGTACTCCTTGCATCAGCAAACGGCGCTCGCGTGCTTCATCATGCTCCTTCTTCCAGTCTTGGCTGAGCCACATGTCCACAATCATCTCCCAGGCATCCGGATGCCGATTGCACCAGTTTGGAATCGCCTACAGGCCATCAAGCAAACGATATATCAGAAGATCAAATTAAGGAAACTTAATCTCAGAAGAAATCCATAGTAATGTTCCGTATTTACCGCAAGGTACTCCTCCTTGGTCAGCACCACCTGTCTTGCCTCGTCCTTTTTGATGCTACGCCCTTTGACCTTCGCGTAGTGCCAAATGTGCGCCTGATGACGCGCGTCGTGAATCATGTCCATGACGCGCTTCTTACAAGAAGCGACCGCCACCTGGTACGCCCTGTGCTCCTTGCCCTCCTCGATTCTAAAGAAATCCTGCATAAAGGCATAAGGTATCAATTACTTATTAGAAGAATGCCCAATGAATACGATGTATCTGTGGCTAAAAGAATACAATGTGTGCTGAAAGACTTACCGGATGTGTCCTCGACGACCCGCTCCGCCTTGTTCCTATATCTGTGGCTACTCACGATCCATGGCATCGGCGGCCAATTCATAGTGGTCGAACCGAGTGGCGGCTCGAACATGTCGGGCTCACCTCCACCGAGCGGTAGTGCTCCTCCCTGCGAGACCTCCTAGGATGCCATTCACTTTATGCGTGCCTTGGCT